TTATTTATTTACGATCGTAACCTTAGGAAGACAATCCACTTCTCTAATACTAGATTAATAAAGGAAGAGTCATGACCCGAGAGAGAGAGATAAAGAGAGAGAGAAATTAGATAGATATATTAGAGAGAGAAAGAGAGACTTCTCCTGAGCAGTCTAGATCTTGGGTCCAGATGAGGCGATCCTTGAAGGCTTCCGTGAGACAGAATAGCCCTGGGGGTAGGGGAGGGGGCCGGGGGGGGGGGGTCTCCAGCTGTGTGTGGTGCAGGACAATCTCGCCAGCCTCCCAGATTGTCTCGCTGCCTCTTCGTCGACAATTTTATGGCCTGATGGAAAAAAAATAGCGTTGGATTTTGAAACATTTCTCATGCGAGGGATTTTACATTCATGGCCGCTTGACGGTATTGCCAGGCAGGAATATTCGGAAAATTCTATATAGGAATGAAATTTAATTCTCAAAGCTTAGGTGAAAAAAAATATGATCATTTGAAGGTTACACACCCAGGCGTTTATTTCAATTAATGATTAGCTACCCAAGCTTATTTCACTTTTAAGCTTAGACACCCCTGCTTATTTAACCTGAAGCTTAGACACCACAGCTTATTTCACCTGATGATTATTTAGACATCCTAACCCGACTCGAAGTGAAGGGGGTTAGGTTAGGTTAGCGTTAGAGTGGTTAATCTGCAGGTGATTTAAATAAGAAACACAACGGAAAAATATATTGGAAACACATACAGGTGTTTTGACCGATACAGTGAGCAATATTTCACCATGTGGGATTATCCATATTTTTTAGGATTTCTTTTTAGAATTGGGAAAAATAGTGTGCAATGAATCAAGTTATGGACTTTGTTATAATTGGTTAGGTTAGGTTAGGTTAGGTGTTGTTACTTTTGGTTAGGTTAGGTCAGGTCAGGGTAGGTGAGGTGATGTTAAGGTGGGTTTGGCTAAGCTGTGTTAGGTTATGTTAGGTTAGGTTAGGCTAGGCTAGGTTAGGTTAGCAAAGGTTAGATTACGTTATGTTAGGTTAGGTTAGGTTTTCGTATTTCAGTTATGACTAAGAGACAATAACAGATACAATTTGCCTTGGTCTAATTATCACAAAAAAGCTAATGTAAAATATTTACTTATTGTTCAAAAAATGTAAAATATATATTTACTTCCCCCCAAATGAGGAATTGTTTACCTTAGTATATAAATATCGTAATTATAAATGGAAATTATGGAATCGGTGATAGTTCAGTGGGCCCCGACCTTACCTGATCTGACCTAATCATGCCTTGCCCTCTAACCTAACCTAACCTAACCTTACAGGGTTTCAACTGTCTTACAGTTCTGGTTGGGTGTCCACTCTCCCAAAAAAGTATCCCCCCGGGACTGGTGTATTTGTAAATGAAGACAGTAACACATGCACAACAGTCTCGGTTCAGTTAGTATTTCTTATTGTGAGTTGCACCTTTCGTTCTTTCTTCTTGCACCACATTATCACCATCATATCTGCACTATACCACCTATTATCTACTTAATGTAATGTGATGAATTGTCATACCATATACACAACCAATAACGTCATGAGTAACCTCGCTGCTTTATGCACCTTAAATACCATTTCAGCCCCAGGGGATGAGTTGCCAAATAGGAATATAACGTTACTATGTTTTCATGAATCTAGGTTACAATAGAATCGCTTCGAGCGAAATATAAAACACTATGATCCTATATTACAGTCATTTGCAAATATAGTAATTACAGGTGTATTGTGATGTCATATCTAATTGCAATGACATTATGATTTACTGCATTGCGTTATTATCTCTACCTCAATTGATGAGGTAACAATTATGAATATACCGTATCATCACATGATTCGTGCTGACAACGGAACATTATCTGATACACACTACGAGGCGATATCTGTCGGTACAAGCTGTGTTTTCCAATAAGTCTCGGGTACTATTGTTGGTTAGGGATGTCCAGCAGAAAACATCCACTATTTGTCTGCCGTTGATTTTATTTTCGCTACAGATACTAGGGAGGCTGACCTACCAACATAATGCAGGAATCACAATTAGTGATCGGAAATATTCGTCCATTGTGACGCATTGTATCGATGAGTAAAGGGGCCGATACTTTTTGGGGAGAGTGTAACGTATTGACTAACACTTGGGTATATTTCACAAGTAATATACCTCACTGTTATATTTAAGCGATATAGGTATGGTTCAACCTTTATGTTTCTATTATATAAAATTATTTAAGAACATATTATTGTAAGTTTAATCAAAGTTGTTAAACATTATACGAGAATAGAATTTTATGAATATTCAAGAATTATATTATTTTTTTCAGTTCAAGACTAAAGTTATATCTGTTAATTCAAAGTTCTTTGTGTTCTTCAAGAACAAAGTTTATTAATTACAATCGTAGTGATATACATAGATTATTACTAGTATTTCAGTTCAGACGGACATTTTTTTTCATGATTATAATGTGTACTTTCATAATAAAATTCATCCTCTTCATGTGTCCAAAACAAACAACATGACAACTTTTCTGGTTAGGGTTGTGAATTTCATGTGTGTGTGTGTGTGTGTGTGTGTGTGTGTGTGTGTGTGTGTGTGTGTGTGTGTTAGTCAGTTGAGAGCGACACCCTGTTTATCCAGCCACTCCTGTTTGGCGTCACTAGCGGGTGTGGCAGAGAGAGGTGGTCACGTGAACAAACACAGTGGCTGGGGCCCTTGTGTGGGTTAATATTTTATGACTGACGGTAGTGGGTGACGTTCACTAGAGGCACGACGGGAGGGAGTGACCAGTTCTGAGGCAGCGACTAAAATGCCATCATGTACAGTCATGGAAACAAGTCCTTTTCATCATCCCTCCACTCATGAACCTTGAGACTCGTAAACCTGTGAATCGGAGACATGACACATACATTGTTAGGCTCATAGATGGTTACACTGTGTGGTGTTTCGGATTTACAGTTTCATAAGGCTCAAGGCTCATGAATGGGACGGAGAACGGACAGGATTTTTTCTGTGACTGTGACTAGACAAAATTTCACCAGACAAAATTCCAACTGGGCAAAATCCCACCACCTAAATATTTAAGTGGACAAAACCCCACCAGGTTAAAGTAAAGGTATTCAGGCGACTCAGTGATAAGTGGCTGGATCACCCACAGCCAGCCAGCCACCTGATGGATCCTGATGTGCAAATACCTAACTCTCTCTCTCTCTCTCTCTCTCTCTCTCTCTCTCTCTCTCTCTCTCTCTCTCTCTCTCTCTCTCTCTCTCTCTCTCCTTCCCCAGGTGAGGTCCGCTGCGCCTCACCTGTTCTTCTCACGAACACCGACCATGACCCCTAACTCTCCCTCTTCCCCCTTCTGTCTCTGTTTCGCATCTCCTCCTCCTCTTCCCAGTCCCCTCTCCCCTGTCTCTATCTCTCTCACCGCTCCATTCTCCCCTTTTTTCTCTCCCACACACCTCTTTCTCCCTCCCCCCCTTTTCCCTTCCCTCTCTCACATATTTCTCCCTATTCCCCTTTTTAGTTCTCTTTCTACCCATCTTTTCCTCTCTACTACCCTCGTCTCTCTCTCTCTCTTCTCTCTCTCTCTCTCTCTCTCTCTCTCTCTCTCTCTCTCTCTCTCTCTCTCTCTCCCTCTACTTCTCCACTTCTCTCCCCATACCTCTTCTTCCCCTTTCCTCATTTCCTCTCTCTCCTTCTCTCAATGCCTATCTCCTGGCCCCCCTATGTCTTCCCCTTATCTCCCCCGCCTCCCCTTACCTCCCCCCCCTACAAATAACCTCTCCCTACTCCTCCTTCGTCCATTTAAAGCTGCTAGATGGTTATGTGTCTGGCCCACATATGCTGAACACATGTGTATCTATATGTGTCGTTGTATATATGTGTCGTATCTATGTGTCGTTATATCTAGGTGTCGTGGTGTCGTTGTATCGTGAAGGAAACATTGTAGTTACTAAAATTGGCGATGAAAATTTTTATATAATTTTCCTAAATCTGTGGCGGACCATTTTATTTGTTCACTTTTTAATTTTTTGAGGAACATTATTATGATTAATTTTGTGAACAAGAGAGAATATTTTTGTGTTGAGATTTTAAAAGAGAAGAGTAATCACCTGAAGAATTTTCACCCTAGAATATTTCACCTAAAGATTATCCATCCTGAGACTATTTTGAGGGGATGGGGTTAGGTTGGGTTATGTTAGGGTAGGTTAGGTTGGGTTATGTTAGGGTAGGTTAGGTTGGGTTATGTTAGGGTAGGTTAGGTTGGGTTATG